GCCGTCGGCGGGATCGTCCTCGACGAACAGGTCTCCGACATTGGGCGGAAGAGGGGGGGGGGAAGGGGCGAGGGGGTCTGGCTCTGGACCTCTCTGCTCAGCGCGACTGTTTGCAGCCGTGCGTCCTATGGGGGAAGCTCCACCTGCGCCGGAAGCAGGCGCCTAAAACAGCCAAGATCCACTCCAGGGGGGGGGGGCGAGGACCCGCGCCGATCGGCAAAACAATGAATAAGAAAATGATCCGATGAGAAGAGTCTCTCCAGGAGAGCCAGAAGAGGCAAGCAACCAACATTCAGTTGCGTTTGGTGTTTGATGGGTTCTGAAGTTGTTTTGCCTGTTTGGGGGGTCCGATCGCCCAAGACAGCCAAGAAGTCTGCAATATAGCTTCAAGACAGCCCATTCGGCACCCGAGGGGGCCCGAGGTCGGCCGAAGAGAGCCCCAAGAGGCTCCCAGAGACTCCCAAGAGACGGCGCTGAAGCGATCCAAGAGTGCACCAAGACGGCCCAGAGAGGCCGCCAAGATGGCCTCCGAAAGCGTCAGATCGGGCAAGAACCCCGTGAGACGGCCCAAGAAAACAGAACAGACCCCCAGGCGGCCCCCGCGAGGCCCCCCCAGAACCCGAGGAAGCTTCTGGGAGGCTCCCAGGAGGCCCCAGAAGTGGCCCCAGAGGCCGTCTCCCCCTCGTTTTGCAGCCGTCCCTCCGGTCCTCCTCGTCCTCCTTCCTCCTCCTCCTCCTCCTCCTCCTCCTCCTCCTCCTCCTCCTCCTCGTCCTCCTCCTCCTCGTCCCCCTCCCCCTCCTCCACCTCCTGCTCCTCCTCTTCCTTCTCCTCCTCCTCCTCCTCCTCCTCCTCGTCCCCATACCGTTCGGACGACGACAAGGTCAAAATCATAACCCGCCTCAGTTCAAGCCTCTCGTCGGTTTTGCCACGGGGCGTGAACTCGACCTCCTTCCTAGCGCCAGGACGAAGACGAGATCGAATTCACCGTTTTTACCAGTTCAGAAGAACACTCGTCGGTTTTGCCGCGGGGCGTGAACTCGACACCCTGCATGCCGCTCAGACGAATACGAGGTCGAGATCAGAATCCTTCCCCCAAGTCAGACGAGCCGCTGAACTGCCGCGGGGCGTGGGCTCGACCTCCTGCCCGCCGCGCGGACGAGGACGAGGACGCGTTCACGACACGACCCAATTCAGACAGCTCGTCGGAGTTGCGCTTTCCCTACACTCAGCCTCCTTCAATGCTGCGCTGCTGCGTAGGCACGGTGGCGGGGTTCGCCACGGGCAGCTGGACAACCACCACTATCATCACAACCACCACATCTACAACCATCATCATCATCATCATCATCATCATCATCCATCATCAGCATCATCATCATCAGCATCAGCATCATCATCATCATCATCATCATCATCATCAGCATCATCATCATCATCATCATCCTCATCCATCACCATCACCATCAACCACACACCATATCACATCATCATCATCATCATCATCATCATCATCATCATCATCATCATCATCATCATCATCATCATCATTATCACCAACATCATCAGCATAAGCATCAGCATCATCATAAGCATCATCATCAGAATCATCATCACCATTGTCATCATGAGAATCAGCATCATCATCATCATCATCATCATCATCGTCATCCTCATCATCAGCATCATCATCAGCAGCATCATCAGTTTCATAATCATCATCACCAGCATCATGATCACCCTCATCATCCTCATCGTCCTCATCCTCATCCTCACCATCCTCATGATCATAATCATCATCATCCTAAGCATCACCATCATCACCACCACTACCATCACCACCACCACCACAACCCTCATCATAATCATAATAACCGTCGTCGTCATCCTCATCACCATCATCCTCATCCTCATCCTAATCCGCAGAATCATCATCCTCATCATCATCGGACTCACCACTACCACCATCATCACCACCACCATCATCATCATCGTCGTCGTCATCATCATCAGCATCATCATCAGCATCATCATCTGTATTTGTATCATCATCATCATCAGCATCATCATCCCCAGCATCATCATCATCATCATCAGCATTATCATAATCAGCATCATCATCAGCATCCTCATCATCATCGGCAGCAACATCCTCAGCAGCAGTAGCAGCAGCAGCAGAAGCAGCAAAAGAAGCAGCAGCGTCGTTGTCGTCAGGAGCAGCATCACCATCATCACCACCACCAGCATCAGCATCGGCATCAGCATCAAGAGCAGCATCCTCCTCCTACTCCTTTTCCTCTTCCCAACCCATTCCTAACCATCCTCATCGTGCGCCTCCTCTTCTTCCTCCTCCTCCTCCTCCTCCTCCTCCTCATCCTCATCCTCCTGCATCCCCCCCAAGATACGTTAGGCAAACTTGAATCGTCAGATTGTCCTCCTCCTCCTCCTCCTCCTCCTCCTCCTCAGCCTCATCCTGCCAAAAGGGACGGCGGACGCCGCGCCAGCCCGGCAGATAACGTTCCTCCCGAGCGCCAGGTTGCAGGCAAAGGGTGAAAATGCAGCGCGCGAGAGCCCACAGTTTCCGCGCAAGGGAGGGGGAGTCGGGAGAGGTCCGAACTGGGGTGGGGGCGCGGCGGTGCAGATGGCAGAGGGATGGAGCGACTCCATCTCCGGGTTCCTTTCTGTTCTCGCCTGCGGGCCTCGACCACCTCATCGTTCCCCACGCTGGGGGCATGACAGGAAGCCTGGACATAGCGCTTCTCCTGTTCCTCATCCCTCCTCCTCCTCTTCCTCCTCCTCCTCCTCCTCCTCCTCCCTCCACCTCCTCCTCCTCCTAGCTCCTCCTCTTCCTCCTCCTAGCTCCTCATCCCCCTCCTCCTAGCTCCTCCTCCTCCTCCTCCTCCCTCCTCCTCCTCGTGCTCATTCTCCTCTTCCTAGCGCCTCCTCCTCCTCCTCCTCCTCCTCCTCATCATCAATCCTCATCATCCTCATCATCCTCATCATCCTCATCATCATCATCATCAACATCATCATCATCAATCATCATCTCATCACATCATATCTCATCATCATCAGCATCATCATCACATCATCACATCATCATCATCATCATCATCATCATCATCATCATCATCATCATCATCATCATCATCATCATCATCATCATCATCATCACTATCATCACAAATCATCACATCATCACATCACATCATCATCATCATCATCATCAGCATCATCAATCATCATCATCATCAGCAGCATCATCATCATCATCATCAGCATCATCATCATCATCAATCATCAACAGCATCATCATCATCATCATCAGCAGCAGCAGCATCATCATCATCATCATCATCATCATCATCATCATCATCATCATCATCATCATCATCATCACATCAACATCATCATCATCATCAGCATCATCATCATCATCCTCATCCTCATTCTCATCCTCATCCTCCTCCTCCTCCTTCTCTTCCATCTCGTCCTCGTCCGCCCTCCTCCTCCTCGTCTTCCTCCTCCTCCTCCTCCATCTCGTGCTCCTCCTCCTCCTCATGATCCTCCTCCTCATCCTCCTCCCTCCTCCTGGTCTTCCTCTGTCTTCCTTCATTCATTGCCCATAGTTATACATTTGTGTGTATAGATATGTACATATATGAAAATATCCCTGTCGGACCTCGAGGCCAGTCGGAGGGGCCTCCCTACCATGTACGACCCTGCAGTTTAAAAACTGGCACGAGCTTCACAGATGGAGGGCGGGCCGCTTCCAAATTGTGGCTCTCGCTTTAGCGCCGCGCACATCCACTCTAAAAAACTGAAAGATGCCACGGATTGAAGGAGATGACTTTCAACCTGTGGCGTTCGCCTCAGCGCCGCGCACATTCGATTTTTCACTGGTTTTCACGGACTGAAGACCAGTCGTTTTCAATGTGTGGCTATCGCATTAGCGCCGCGCACATCCGTCTTCAGCATTTGTAAGAACTTTCTGCATGGGGGGCGGCTCCTTTTCAAAATGTAGTTCTCGCCCTAGCGCGGCGCACACTCGTCTTTGTAATTTACAAGAGTGTTAAGGATTCTCATGATTAACGTGCCACAAACGGTGTTTGGAAATATGTAAGATTGCCAGGGCGCCACAGTGACATTGATTCGAGGTGTTGAAGAAGTCCCAGGAATGGTGTTCTGGCACGATTCGGGATCGTCAAGACGCAAAAGTAAGGTTGATTCGTGGCGTTGAAATCCCATGAATAGTGCTCTGGTACGGTTCAGGCTATTCAAACGGAATGGGGCATTTCCCTCAGCGGACATAAATCCTTCGAGGGGCCAATGAGGAGGGAGCTCGGAGGGAGGGTTTGTTACAGCATCGTTGACGAGTCCTGGGCTTACACTGGTCCTCTGTCCTCCTCCTCCTCCTCCTCCTCCTCCTGTCCCTCCTCCTCCTCCATCCCCATCCTCCTCCTCCTCCTCAATCCTCCTCCTCCTCCTCCTCCTCGTTTTTTCCTCGATCCTCCTCTTCTTCTTCCTCCTCCTCCTCCTCCTCGTCCTCGTCCTCTTCCTCTATCCTCTTCCTCCTCCTCCTCCTCATCCCCCTCCTCCTCCTCCTCCTCCTCCTCCTCCTACCACCTCCTCCTCCGCTCCTCCTCCTCCTCCTCCTCCTCCTCCTCCTCCTCCTCCTCCTCCTCCTCCTCCTCCTCCACCACCTCCTCCTCCGCCTCCTCTGTCGTGGCGGGAGCGCTGGGGCTCGAGGAGCAAGGCGGAGGAGGAGACCACAGCGAAGGAGGCGGGACGAGCCGTCCGGCTGGCCGCAGCCCAATGAAAACTACTCGCGGGCCCTGGCTGGCGCGCAGCGCGGGCGCGGTGCCCGCCCGAAATGGGGACGGTTGTGGGCGGAGATGCTGGTTTGTGACGGAGGAAAAGGGAGCGGAGGGGAGGGAAGGGAGGGATGGAGGGATGGGAGCGGAGGGAAGTGGCGGGGAGGGAGGGAAGGGAGGGAGAGAGGGAGGGAGGGGGGGAGGAGGATGAGAAGGAGGAGGAGGAGGAGGAGGAGGCGGAGGACGATAGAGGAGGAGGACGATAGAGGAGGAGGACGATAGGAGGAGGAAGCAGCGGGAGGAGAAAGCAAGAGGCGGCAGCAGGTTTGAGGAGGAGGAGGAGGAGCAGGAGGAGGAGGAGCAGCAGCAGATGCAGGAGGCAGAAAACGAGGTGGAGGCGGAGGGGGCAGGGGAGGAGGAATGTAAGGAAGAGGAGGAAGAGGAAGAGGAAGAGGAAGAGGAAGAGGAAGAGGAAAAGAGGAAGAGGAGGAGGAGGAGGAGAAGGAGGAGGAGGAGGAGAAGGACGAGTGGGACGGAGGGGCGGAATGGGGGAGCGGGACGGAAGACGTCGAGGGAGGATCGAGGTTCGCGGTCTTGGACGTCGTTGGTCTGAGCCTCACATTGGGGGCCTCCAGGACTCTCCAGAGACGCCGGAAGCCTGCAGAGGCCCAACAAGAACGCTCCCAGCATCCCGAACTCACTATCTCCAAGGTCACCTAACTTCGCGCATCGCGCCCCGCGGTGCGCCGCGCGCGATCGGCGTCGCGCCCTCGCGCCGCCCCCCTTTGGAGAAAGGCTCCTCTCCGACCCAAGCCGCGATGCGCTTCGCGCGCCCCTGAAGGTGACCGAGATCCCCGATCCGCCTCCTCCCTCCAAGGTGGAACGAAGGCTCCTCCTCCTCCTCCGCCTCCCCCCTCCATCCTTCTCCTCCTCCTCCTCCTCCTCCTCCTCCTCCTCCTCCTCCTCCTCCTCCTCCTCCTCTCCCCTCCTCCTCCATCCCCATCCTCCTCCTCCTCCTCCTCCTCCTCCTCCGCCTCCTCCCGCCTCCTCCCTCCTCCTCCTCCTCCTCCTCCTCCTCCTCCTCCTCCTCCTCCTCCTCCTCCTCCTTCCTCTCCTCCTCCTCCTCCTCCTCTCCTTCCTCCTCCTTCCTCCTCCATCCTCCAAACTCCATCCTCCATCCTCCATCCTCCATCCTCCATCCCCCTCCTCCTCCTCCTCCTCCTCCTCCTCCTCCTCCTCCTCCTCTTCCTCCTCCTCCTCCCTCCAAGGTGGAGCGAGGGTTCCTCCTGCCCTCCCGATTTCGGGCGTCTCGAGCTGCGCCGAGGGGATGCCGCCAGCGCAGCCACGCGGCGGCGCGCGCCTCTGCCAGAGCTCTCGGGCCCAGCTAGCGTACCTTTAAACGATTCCGCCCCGCGGGCAGACAGGGGGCAATGGCAGCGGGGGAAGGAGGAGGAGGAGGAGGAAACATTTTTGTTGCTGTGGACGACTGCCGGCTAGCCTCTCGAAAGGACTAACAAGCAGGCTTAAAATATAAGAGAATTGAGCGGGCACACGGGGCCCTGGCAGTTCACGAACTTCACCGCGGCCCAGACAATTACGAGCTTTGCATGGCAAGCACTACCGGCAAGAGCGGCACTGCGACGTGCGCGCCCGCGGCGAGCAGCCGAGAAGCTGAACGCACCACGGGTGCAACGAACCACGGATGTTCCCGTAGCACGGCTAGCACTTCCACGCAGTCCGAAAACCGATCGAGCAGCTCGCAGTCTTCGCTGCGAATGGTAAACTGCGCCGAATTCGCTGCCTCAGACAGACCATCGCCGACCACATTGGATCCTAGATGGCTGCCTCGATCCTCCCGCGGAGAGACTGCGGCACCAGACGAAATACTCTGCGAATGGGAAGCACACTGCAAAATTGCCTCGGGAGACAAACCGGGCACCAGACGGACGCCGCCAGACACCTCCGGGCCATTCTCATGGCTCACCGGCTCCGCCGAGCAAATGTCGCTGCTTCCGGCCTCTGCAAGGGACGTGGCATGAACAAAACTGTGAGGCACGATCGAATCGACGCCAAATGTGTCGAGATCAGCGCCTTCGGCCGCCAAAATGGCCTGGTCGTTCACCTGCTTATTTTTCTTCCTCTGCCTCCGGCGAGGCCGCTTCTCACCTATGAAGAACTCTTCCGGTGCCGCCTGGGTGGGGTGGTCGGCCTGCGCACCTTCGCCAGCGGGGGCGGGGGCGGCAGAAATGGCATCCTCACCGGCTGAGGCGGCAGCGGCGGCAGCGGGGGAAGCAGCGCCGGACAGGTCGAACTCGAGCTCAAGGACGGCGCCGCCAGCACCGGCAGCGGCGGACGCGGAGGCAACGGCGCCGGCGGACGCTTGGCCAACGCCGCACGCCGGTTCCGGTCCGAAAGCTGGGCCAACTGCTTCGCCCTCTCTCGGAAGAACTCCTTCCGGGACATGCGCAGGTAGACTTCCTTCCCTGTCTTTAGGCCCTTCTTTTCCTTCTTGTCCTTCATCTCCTTCACCTGGTTGCTGTTCTTCTGCTTCTTCGGACGCCGCCTCGGACGGCGTGCGGCCAGCTCCGCTGCTGGGTTCGCACACCATTTCTTGCGCTGCCGGCCCCGGGTTGCCGTCTTCGCTGCCGGCAACAGCGCTGCAGGCGCAGGAGGCGCTGGCGGCGTCGCAGCTGGCGGAGGTGGCACCGAAAAGCCGGGCAGCAGGCGGCGGCTCCACTGGCACTGGAAAGTCCGTGCCCTTGTCCTTCACGCCCCTGTCCTTCAGGCGGCCCTCGCGCGGAGGCGGGGGCAGCACACCACGTGATTTGCGGCCCCACCGGGAAAGCACCTTGACAACATGAATGGCTCCACCCTCCCTCTCCGACGATGGCGGGGGTCGTGTCCACATCCGACATTCTGAGAGCAGGCGCCGCACCAATCCACTGGCCAGGAGGACCCTGTGGACGCAACATCCTGAACAAGGATATCGAAGGACTGGGCTCCAAGGCCAAATGCAAATTGCCTGAGCCTCTCACCCAACTCTTGCGACAATAAGTGATGTGGCACGAAGAAGCGAACTTGCATGCAAAGGAAAAGACGGACACGATATGATCCCAGCTCTTCACCCTCTCGTCAGCTACAAAAGAGCGCTCAAGCCGCACACATCGCGGTGGTCCAGCGGCTGGGCCCCGGCGCAGGCGGGCAGGCGAGGCGCGCGCCCGGCCTGAGCCAGAGAGGCTTGAGCCAAAATGGCAACGGTGGAAGGAGGAGGAGGAGGAGAAGGAGAAGGAGGAGGAGGAGGAGGAGGAGGAGGAGGAGGAAGAGGAGAAGGAGGAAAAGGAGAAGGGAGGACGGAAGATAGGTAGAGGATGACGGCGGAGGAGCGAGTATGATTGTGAGGCATGGAGCAGGGATGAAGGAGGGAGGGAGGGAGGGAGGCTGAGGTCCTGGAGATGTTTTTCTTAAATGCTCGTAATAATCCGCCGACCCTTCGGCGTGTGTGAAACGCTTTTCCTTTTTTCGTCGTCGTCGTCGGGCCTCCTGGGGCCTCTGGGGATCCCCGCGGAAATCTCCCAGAACCTCCGAAAGGACCTCCTGGCGCCGGGGGTGGGGAATAACTCCTCGCTGTCCTCCTCCTCCTCCTCCTCTTCCTCCTCCTCCTCCTCCTCCTTCTCCTCCTCCTCCTCCTCCTCCATTCCTTTCCTTGTCGATAACTCCTCCCTGTCGCACCCCGAAGCCAGTCGAGAGGGCGGGCCCGGCGTTTCGCCTGACTTCCTCACGACGCATGACCCTGGAGCCGAAACTCTGCAACAGCTTCCTGGGAGGAGGGCGCATGGTCTTCAGAACGTGGCGCTCGCCCTAGCAATGCGCACATCCGTCGCAAGAAACTGCAAGGAGTTCACGGATGGTGACTACCTGCCAGACCACCCCAACCCAACCCGAAGACCCGAATTTCGGGTTGGGGGGGTACGGGCTTCATACGTGTTTTCCCCATGTTCCCCGATCCCCCCCCCCCACTGGAAATGGAGGGCACATCGGGGCCTTCGGGTTGGATTGGGGTGGTCTGGCGGGCGGCGAGATGGAGGGCGGATGGTTTCTTAAGCTGCGGCTCTCGCCTCCGCTCCGAGCGCACTCGCCTTAAGGAACATTGCAAGGGCTTCACGGGCGGAGGCGCGCGTGCGGCTCTCGGCTCAGCGCCGCGCGCGCTGCCTGTCACGAAGAGGTTTGGAGCGTCACGGAACGAGGCGGGTACCCTTTTTTGGTCTCACAATGCGGCTTTCGGCTTGGAGCAGCGCTTGCACGTCGGTCGGAAGAAGCAGGTAGAAACATGAAGTAGGAAGGCGGATCTAGTAGATTGGACCCAGGTCTTCCCAAAGAACAACTACTCACTGCGTGGAGCTCCCCGTATGTGCATCTCATGTTGTATGCCATGCCATAGTGAGCGTCTGTTCATAAGCGCTTGACTATAATAGCGCACCCACGTGGGCGACAGGGCCGACGAAGACGAGTGAATCCTGATGCGAGTGAGTGAATACGAGTCAGAATGAGGTTTGGGTATGATTGAATATGAGCCTCCCATTCATTCCCCCTCCTCAATATTCTAGCCGCGAACGGGCCCGTGTCCTACCCCCTGGCGGCTCCTTTTCGGGGTGCTGAAACCAGCGCCCCGCCTGAGACTTCCTCACAAACTGTTCTAAACGCAGACGAGTCTGCGCACCAAAACAGGGGGTGCTGAAACCAGCGCCCCGCCTGAGACATCCTCACAAACTGCTCTAAACGCAGACGGATCTGCCCACCGATACAGCCAAACCGCCTGAGACATCCTCACAAACTGGCCGCGAACGGGCCTGTGAAAACACTCTTGGCAACTCTTCTTAGGGGTGCTGAAACCAGCGCCCCGCCTGAGACATCCTCACAAACTGCTCTAAACGCAAATGAGCCTGCCCGCCAAAACAGCCAAACCGCTTGAGACATCCCCCCAAACTGGCCGCGAACGGGCCTGTGAAAACACTCCTGGCAACTCTTCTTAGGGGTGATGAAACCAGCGCCCCGCCTGAGACATCCTCACAAACTGCTCTAAACGCAAATGAGCCTGCCCACCAAACAACCGAACCGCCTGAGACATCCCCACAAACTGGCCGCGAACGGGCCCGTGAAAACACCCCTGGCGGCTCCCTTTTGGGGAGTATGAGTATGAGTAAGTCTGAGTATGAGTAGGTCTGAGTATGAGTAGGTCTGAGTATGAGTAGGTAAGTCTGTGTATGAGTGAGTCTGTGTATGAGTACGTCTGGGTATGAGTAAGTATGGGTGTGCGTAAATATGTGTATGAGTAAGCCTGTGTATGTGTACGCCTGGGTATGAGTGAGTCTGAGCATGAGTAGGTCTGAGTATGGGTATGTCGGAGTATGAGTAAATATGTGTATGAGTAAGTCTGGGTATGAATAAGTCTTAGTATGAGTAAGTCCGAGCGGAGGGGAGGAGAAGAAGAGGGAGTAGGAGGCGTCCAAGTAATGGCAAGAACCCCATCTTAGGATATGGGGAACCAAACACAGCAAAAGCGTGTCGATTCTTGAAGTAGGAAGGCGCTTGAAGTAGATTGGGATCTGGGAATCCAAAAATAGATACTTTCAACGACCAGCGTGTATTCGCTTTGAGAGCAAAAACATAGTCAAGGGGTCGCACGGCTGACGTGCCACAAACGGTGGTTTGGCACGATGTCGGATTGTCAAGGCGCAGCAGTTACGTTATTTCGTGGTGTTGAAATCCCGACAATGGCGTTCTGGCGCGATTCTGGATCGTCAAGACGCAACAGTAACAATGATTCGCGGCGTTGAAGTCCCAGGAATGGTGTTCTGGCACAATTTCGGGTTTTCGCAGCAAACGGCTGTTTTCCAACGGGGCACTTCCTTCATTGAAGACGTACCACTGCAGGGGCCTATGAAGAGGGAACTTGGAGCGAGGGTGCATTGCAGTATCACTGAAGAGTCTTGGGTGTACAGTGGTCCTCCTCCTCCTCCTCCTCCTCCTCCTCATCATCATCATCATCATCATCATCACCACCACCCACCAGCACCACCACCACCACCACCACCGTCGTCGTCGTCGTCGTCGTCGTCGTCGTCGTTGTCGTTGTCGTTACCACCACCACCACCATCACCATCATCACCATCATCAACAACACCATTATCATCAGCAGCATCATCATCAACATGAACACCAATATCACCATCAACATCAGCATCAACATCCATATCAACATCAGCATCGCCGTCAACATCAACATCAAAAGCAACATCGTCATCATCGTCATGTTGCTGGTCGCCGTGCTCATCGTTCTGCACCCTTTCCCCTCCTCCTCTTCTTCTTGTTGTTAGTATGTGTCTTCCTCCTCATCCTCCTTTCTCACCTCCTCTTGTTCCTACCCCTGCTCATCCACTTGCTCCTCCTCCTCCTCCTCATCATCCACATTTTCCTCCTGGTCCTCCTGGTCCTCCTCCTCCCCCCTCCTCTGCTAAACCTCTTGGAGGGAGGCAAGGAAGGAGACGGCCCTCCTCCTCATCATCAGCATCAGCGACAGCATCGGCATCATCAACATTACCAACACCAACACCATCATGGTCACCAATCTATATCATCACCAACTGCATGTAGGGCTTTCCGGTGAGAGCTTGGGCCTTCTGAGCCTTCATGGAACTGCCTGCGTGACAAGGCAATGGGTTGTTTGGTGTTCCATGTGTTCTACCATATTAAGTTCTGTTCAGAATGGGTACGGTAGGAGGGGAAAGTGATGGTGCAAATCCTGTTCCTCCTCCTCATCATCGTCATCATCATGTACCACACCACTGTCACCATCATCAACGTAATCGTCAACAACATCATCATCGCCATCAGTATTATCATCATAATCATCATCAGCACCACCATCACCACCATCATCATTGTCGCCGTCGTCGCCAATCGTCGTCGTCGTAATCGCCGTGGTCATCAGTATAATCAGCATCATCGTCAGCATCATCATCAACATCATCGTCATTATCATCCGTATCATCATCGTCATCGCCATCGTCATCGTGATCAACATCATCAGCATCATCAGCAACAGCTGCATCATCACCACCACGAGCATCATCAGCATCATCATCATCATAATCACCATCATCAGCATCGTCCTCATCATCACCATCAACAACGTCAACATCATCATCATTAGCAGCAGCAGTTTCATCATCATTATCATCGTCGCCCTCGTCCTCGTCATCATCATCATCGTCAACCCCCTCCTCCTCATCATTATCACCATCACCATCATCATCGTCATCGTCATCATCCTCATCCTCATCCTCGTCCTCATCCTCCTCCTCATCATCATCATTATCATCATCATCAGCATCATCACAATTATCATCCTCATCCTCATCATCATCCTCATCCTCATCCTCCTCCCTCTGGGATTCCTTGAACCCTCTGGGCTTCCTGGAGAGGAGGAGAAGGTACTTTGATTGGCTTCCTGTTAGTTTTGGGCCAAACCCGAATTTCAACCAATGTGCTCAGGCAGTCCCGGTGACCACGCGCGCAACCTATGGCGCAACCAACGACATGCCCGTGCATTCCCAGCGGCCGAACGGGCAACATGTGGTGCAACCAATCGCGGGCTGCCAGATTCCCAGCGGCGGAGCGCCTCACTCATGGCACAACCAATGGCGTGCCCATGCGTCCCAGTCGGCAGGGCACGCAAACTGTGGCGCAACCGATGGCACGCCGCTTTGGTCCCAGCGGCCCAGCGCGCCACCTACGGCGGAATACGCGGGACGCCCACGTATTCCTAGGTCGGGGTAGGGCCTCCGAGCGCAGGGCTCGCTCTCGCTCTCCCGAGCGTGGTCAGACGACGCGTGACCTTCGAGGGACAATTCAAAATTGTCAAAAACATATTCATGAATAGTCGTACATTTGCTAGGCGAGCCGTCTCCAGACTATCTCTTCAACTCTTCACTATCTATAAGCTGTTGTTCAAGTATTGCGTGATATATCTTTAAACATATGAACTATGTTTACCTACTGCTTAACTATTGTTGAAACTATTTTCTGACGTGCTCCCGGCGGCCGAGCGCGCATCCTGCGCATGGCGCGGCCAGTGGCAGGCCGCCGTGTGCCCAGCGCGGCCCAGCGCGCGCACCCCCTGGCGCAGCCCCCACGCCGGGCAGGCCCTCCGCCCCGAAGGGCCGCGCGAGAGCAGCCCGTGGAGCGCAGGCGCTCGGGGAGCGCCCGCGTCGGCGACTCGCGCGGCGCAGCGCCGCGCTCGCCGGGGACTGCGGCCCAGTGGTCTGGTCCATGGCGGGCTTGCCCTCTCCACCGCCACCACCCACAGGGAGGAGGGGGAGGGGGTCCTCCTCCTCCTCCTCGTCCCTCCCTCCCTCCCTCCCTCCCTCCCTCCTCCTCCTCCTCCTCCTCCTCCTCCTCCTCCTCATCCTCCAACTCCTTCCCCCCTCCAACTCATGGTGGTGGTGGTGGTGGTGGTGAAAAACATGCCCATCAGTCCAGTGGCTGGGCCCGCAGAGCCACGGATCGGGGACTCCGCCAGCCACCTCTTGCCGGGGGCGAAGAGGCGTGTGACACACTGGGCTGTCCCCCTCCCCCTTGCCCCCTCCCCCAGGGTCCCAAATCGAGCTTGATTTGTTTTGCCGCGCTCAGCATCACTGCGGGCGGCGCCGCGGGTCAGCCAGCAAATGCGCGACACGCCAGCGTCCACCCAGGATGGCCGGCAGCGCCTGGAAGTACCCCGACAGGTGGGAAAAAAAACAAGGAGAAGGGACCCAAATCGAGCTCAAGGGGGGGAGTCCCCAGGCTCCTGAACGCACCCCTGGGGCCTCCGGGGACTCTTAGCCGGGTCAGGCTGGGCTCCAGCATGCCGAGGAGAGCTCCAAGACAACCAGGATGGCCGCAAGACTGCCCAAGCGACCTCGAAGACACCCCAAGAGAACTCCAAGAGGACCCCCAAGAGAGCCCCAAGAGGCAAAATCGGCCCAATCCCTTGGGCAAGCGTATTTCCATTGAGCATGTTCGCCTCTCCGGTCTCACCACCGTCCAAGCCTGATCATGAGGCCCCCAAGATCGGTCCAAGACGTCCCAAAAAGCTCCCAAGAGGGCCCCAAGGCGGCCCAAGAGTCGCCCAAGATGGCCCAGGAGGGCCTTAACAGGGCCCTAACAGGGATCCAAGAGGACCCCAAGAGGACCCTGGAGATTTCTACGCGATTGACCGAGCGGAGATCTACGAACATGCCACATCTGTTTCGCAAATCCAACGGGAACAAAAGCATAATTCTGGGGCACATCAATTTTGCAAACGACCTCCTGGTCGAAGCCAGCGCCAGAGGCCTCCTAGATGGGGTCCGAGTAGATGGGGTCGAAGGCTCGCGCCGCATCGCCAATACATCGCCGATGCATCGGCTTTGCATCGGAGATGCATCGGCGACGTCGGCGATGCATCGGCGACGTTGGCGTGGGAGGCGGCCCTGAGAATTTTCCCTGCCTTTTTCGGAGGCCCTCATCGGAACCTCCTCCGCAGCCAGGTAAGAGGTAAGAGGTAAGAGGTAAGAGGTAAGAGGTAAGAGAAGGAGGAGAAGGAGCAGGAGGAGGAAGAGGAGGAGGAGGAGGAGCAGGAGGAGGAGGAGGAGGAGCAGGAGCGAGGATCAGGAGGAGGAGGATCGAGGAGGAGGAGGAGCGAAGAGCGAGGAGGAGGAGCGAGGAGGAGGAGGAGGAGGAGGAGGAGGAGGAGGAGCGAGGAGGAGAGGAGGAGTGAGGAGGAGGAGTGAGGAGTGAGGACGAGCAAGGGGAGGCGCAAGGGGAGGAGGAAGAGGAGGAAGAGGAGGAGCACGGAGGTCCAAAGGAGGAGAGGGCTCGGAGCGATCTCCGCGGAGCCGCGCAGCAAAGGGAGCGGCCGCCAGCCGCGCGCGCGGGCCGCCCCCCCGGGCACACCCTGCGTGGAGCGGCGCGCTGGGCGGCGACGCCCCCCCCCCCCCCGGGGCGACGGGCGCGGCTTGCCGAGGAGGGCCTTCTCCCCGACGGCGGCCTCGGCGGCGGCGACGCCGCGGCGGCTTCGCGCGACGGACGTCACCTGCAAGCCAGCATTGCAGCTTGACGCGCTTTGTCGCGAACGGCACACATATTGAAGCGCCGACCAATCCCCTTTCTGAGCATTCGAACGTTAATAATGAAACTCGCACTGTGTCCGGAGCTTCTCCTGAACTGCCTGGCAAAAGTCCCCCTACCTTGAAGCATGCCAAGCCGAGCGAAACCGCGCAAGATAAGGCACTGGGAGGGGGAATGGGTTCACCTCCATCCTGGAGCGCGTAATACACGCAAGACCAGGCACAAGGAGGAGGCAGGGGCAACCTTCTACCTGGAGCGCGCAGTGCCCAGAAAATGCATGCCGAGCCCAGGCCCGAGGGAGAGAAGGCAGAGGAGGCTGAGACACGGGAAAGGATAGGGGGCGCGAGCAGCAAGCTCCCTGTTCCGGTTCCTCCACGCGCTGGCCGAAAGCCATCTACCCTATCATAACTAGATTCACATTACATCAACTTGAGCAGGCAGGCGCAGAAGGCCGCGCACAAGAAGCCTTGAGAAATCTGCGGTGCACTCGTGCTGCTCGGGCGACCATCGAGGTCGCTTCTTGTATAAAACAGGGCTGTGGCCCCGCCTCGCCAGAGGCTGTAAACGTTGGTCCTCAGCCGCCCAAAAAAATCCGTGCGATCATTCGGCCAGAGAGCAGGCAAACAAGCTGGGGCGCCGATCGCGCCACCTCCTTCTCCTCCACCCACCTCCTCCTCTCGTGGACCTCCTCCCACCACCATCAGCCGATGCGCCAAAGGGGCACGAAATTATTAATGCTCTCTATCAATGTGTACAGGCGGGTGGCCCCCGTGCCGACTACGTCCCCGTCCCCTCCCCCACCACACTTTCTCCCCCCCCCCACCGGATCGCCTTGCCAAGCCCCCCCCCCGTCCCTCCATACAATTGCAAGGCGATGGGGCCCAACTCTGCAGCGTAGCTCTCCGCGGCAAGGAATCCTACCTGATCTGAAGGCCACAACTGCAAGGCCAAGCCGCTATATATGCCTCCGTGCCGCGAAGCACGGGTGAGAGGAGAGAGGATAAACTGGGAAAGAGGGTCTTCGAATGCGGAGGAGCCGAGGCATGTCTTGCACAAGGTCTCTCGTAGCGGCCTTCACGAATGCTGTGAAGGGTGGGCGCTCATGTGGACAGAAGTCTCAGAAGACCTGTAAAACAGACTACAGACATGCTGGGGGAAATGACCCACGCAGCAGCCTGCATGCTGTGGCTTGAATGGCAACCAGATGCTGCCGCACAGCGCCCCGAGGTTCATATTACATTGAGTGGTGATTGACGGAAGGAGTGCTGACATGAATTCGCCTCAACGGCGGGCTCCTTTTCGAGCTTTGCTGTCGACGGCGTCAAGAACTTCAACCTCCTTAACTGGTATTTGTGCAAACTGGCTGGGATGCTGGCATATCTCCGCCCAGCACCTCTGCCTACGGGAATGGCAGAGGTGGCCGAGCAGAGCAAGGCAAGTCCTATAGACAGTCTTGCAGACTGGGCAGGCGCCGCTCGCAGCAGCGGAAAATCTTTGAGGACGCCGTGATTGATCTGGCGATGCTGTGCGAGCTGCTTGTGGGTGTGCAAAGCCACGCCGCAAGCATCGCATCGAAACTTCCGACTCGCATCACCATCGTCCAAGCTAGCGGCCCGAACGTCGCAAAACGAATCGGAGAAGTGTACACGATCATGTATGTTCCTGATGTTTCTGAGCGGTGTCGGAGGCCTCGCAGGCCGTGCAAGAGTGTGCATGCAGCGCGGAGTGGAGATCAACAGAGAAATGCCCATGTGGAGAGAGGCAGGGAGGTGGAGGAGAAATTGGCCTCGGAGGGAGAGGAGAAAAACGGGAGGAAAGGGAATCAGGCTGGTGAGGCGCGGGCGCCTCTATAGAAAAGCTCTCGGGCTCGCGTGAGGGCGGGCGGGCCCCCTAGATTGGCCCAATGTGCCATTTTTGTTCCTCCTCGTCCTCCTTTTCTTCCTTCTCTTCCTCCTCCATGTCCCCGTCCTCCACTCCCCAGCCAATACTGCAAGTCAGAGCGAGATCGACCCGCCACCAGTCGCGCGGCTCCCCTTGCTGTCTGACCTCTGGGCGCTGTCAGCCTCGGGCGGAGACGCACCAGCGCCCGCGGGGGCCTCGAGACGCGGCCCGCTCGTTACCACCGACTGTGTCGCCTGGTCGATGAGTCGCGGTGGGGTCAGTTTGTTGCCGGCGTCCTCCGGGGTCCAACGCTGATCCTGGATCCACTTGGACATCTCGAGAACGAGCTTCACCACGCACGAAGGTCGGTCCAGGCCCTCAGTCCAGTCCTCGCCGCCAGGCGGATCCACGGACACTCTCAGCGTGTTCACGATGGCGAAACGCATACGATGATGCTGCTTACTGAAACGGAAGCTCACCCCGTGCACAGCTGGCAGCTCGAGTCTATCGCAGGCACGACGAACCCAAAACTTCAAGTCATTTCGCTGGTCTGGCCGAGCACATTGCAGAATACTACTCTGGGTGGCACAGATTTGCGCCCAAGAGCTGCCAACTAACATCTCGAAGGCAGTGCTGCAACGCAACATGGTTGACTCTGGTGACATACCGTCGACCCAAACAGCAACCTCGGAAATAGAAGACGATGCGCCAGACTCCCCTTCAGAATTGGTGCCAAAATACATGTGTGCAGTCTCGTGCGACGCACACCAGCTCTGAACATCCATCTTCATTTCAGCACTAGGCATTGTCGGCGCTCTCGGGTGCGTCCTCGTCCTTGGTGGAATGAGGTCCGCACATTCTTTTAAAGCCGACCAAGTACGACTCCTTTTTATCACCACTACTGCAACGCACGCAGAAAACTTCCACCGACACAGAGATGCCACAAGTGTCCCGCAATTTGACGTGAAAAGCCGTGCATAAATCATCATACGCAGTACTGGAGGGTACCTGTTTGGCAAATTTTTGGCGATCGGCCTCTGTGACAAGAAAAGACGATATACTCACTCCCGCCAAAGATCGAGGTTCGCCATGCATTAACAAAGCCGCGAGCTTTTCGGAAGGCCACACGAGCGTCAGCTTGGCATCGAGCTCGACCACGGCGTCACAAACGCCTGCTAGGATCGACATTGCGGCGCGCAACTCGCTCCGACATGCTTGACCCTCTAAGAGGGCACTGACCACCATTGAGAACACGACGTTCAAGATTACCAAAGATACAACGACACATATCCAATCAAGAAACATGTCATTTGCGGTTTTAGGGTCGTGGCACGGCATGCCATTGGACTTGCCAGCAAGCGCTGTGGACGCAGCGGAAAGATAGCAGAGTGTCGTCCAAAACAAGTTCGCTGGAAGGCTGAAGTCAATCATGCAGTACACTAAGCAATCATACAATACATGAGCCTTGAGGGGGCCGATCGATTCCGCGAACTGCAACAGCGGTGACAGAGAAATCGCATGTGAGAGTGACAGAAGGCAATACCACAAATGAAGTCGTGTAGGGGTCAACAAGCTAGGACACACATTGACTGACACAACTACCACCCCAGAGCAAGCGAAATGCAAGCGCCTGGGAACCATATGCGGGCGGTCATCTGCGGAGAAGAACACCATCGGGTAAACCATCACGACAACTGCGACACAATACAACTGGTAGCTTCTCCGTGACATGGCAAGCCTGATGGATTGCTTGCGATTGTGAACAGATTGTGGAGTGCCGTCTTTTCCCAAGAATGGCCGTCCTGACGACTGTAGAGAACGCGAGCAATCGAGCAGAGTAATCGTGAAAGCAAGACCTTGAGGCGCCCTCGGTCCACAACTTCCAAGCCAGGCGCGCCAGCATCATAGCGGCGCAGGCCGCAATGCAAATAAGCTCCACTTGGTGGACAATACCGGATAAGTCTGGCACGATCATTGGGGAGATAGGCTTGGCAGCTTGGCACCAAGCTCGTGCGGAAAGGGCACTGATCCGAAAACTTGAGCCAAAATGGCCATGGAAAGTCTCATGGGGGCCTCTTGGGGCTTCTTGGGCCTTTCTTGGAGCCTCTTGGGGTCTCCTGGGGGTCTCTTCGGCCAAAAGGCCTGAATTTTCGGTTCCTCGTCCCTGTCTTGGGCGCCGCCTTGGGGCGTTTTTGGGCGGCTTGGGCGCCTCGTGGGCCGTCTTGGCCCCCTCGTGGGCCGCCTTGGGGCCCTCTTGGGGGCATCCCCGACCGGCTTGGGTGCCTCTTGGGCCGTCTTGGACGCAGTGGAAGCGCAAAAGGCGAACACGACAATTATCCTGGCGATGGACCCAACCATATGCAGTTGCGAGTACCGCAAAGCAGGTTGAGCGAATGAGAGGGAACTCCCTAAGGGGCCACGAAACGTGTGAGAGGTGTGCCGAAATGGGTGCGGTGCCGCCATGCGAACGCAGCCACTGGGGCCTTCGGTGGAGCTCCTTATGGGGCCACGAAACGTGTGAGGGGTGTGCCGAAATGGGCGCGGTGCCGCCATGCGGACGCAGCCACTGGGGCCCTCGGTGGAGCTCCCTATGGGGCCACGAAACGTGTGAGGGGTGTGCCGAAATGGGCGCGGTGCCGCCATGCGAACGCAGCCACTGGAGCCCTCGGTGGAGCTCCTTATGGGGCCACGAAACGTGTGAGGGGTGTGCCGAAATGGGCGCGGTGCCGCCATGCGAACGCAGCCATTGGAGCCCTCGGCGGAGCTCCCTATGAGGCCACGAAACGTGTGAGGGGTGTCCCGAAATGGGCGCGGTGTCGCACTGCGAACGCAGCCACTGGGGCCCTCGGTGGAGCTCCCTATGGGGCCACGAGCCGGGTGAGGGGTGTGCCGAAATGGGCGCGGTACCGCCATGCGAACGCAGCCATTGGAGCCCTCGGTAGGGCTCCCTATGGGGCCACGAAGCGTGTGAGTGTGTGCCGAAATGGGTGCGGTGCCGCCATGCGGACGCAGCCACTGGGGCCCTCGGTGGAGCTCCCTATGGGGCCACGAAACGTGTGAGGGGTGTGCCGAAATGGGTGCGGTGCCGGGCTTCTCTTAAGGCTCAAAAGGCCTCCAGCTTCCCGAGAAGCCTTCTCGGCCTTTTCCGAAGACACGGATGGCTTCTCGGAGGGAGCGACGGCATCGGGAGTGTCGAATGCATGGGTCGCGAAGCACAGGACGCACGGGCACCCTTGATCTGGCAGGGTCGACCTACTTACCAGCCTCGACTGCATGGGGAGAAGGGGGAAGGCTTCTTAAAACGAGGATGTGTCTTTAGAATACAAAAGACCTCGTCTGCAGATGTAGGGCCGGCGCCTTCTGAGAAGCAGCCTCCTTGACGGGGGCGCGCAGACATGGGTTGGCGATCCATGGATTTGGCGCGCGGTCGCCAGATCCATGATGCCAATGCGGGCGGGAACCCGTCTGTGCGCTTGCGCCGCTGCCAGCTCTGTACTCACGGGGGGGTGCGGGGGCGTTAGGGGGGCACTCCGTGTCTTGGAGGCCGCCCCCCCCCCTGCCTCCGGACAAGGCCCTGGTCAGGGAACTCGGAGAAAGGGCCGCCCTGAGGAGGCCAACCCGCCCCTGGGAGGCCCTCCTACCTTCCGAGACGCCCCCCTAAGAGCTCGAAGCTCCCACTAGGCCGTTAGGGCGTAAAAGATTTCGCGGGAGGGGCCTGCCCCTCCCCCTCCCCCTCCCGTTGGGTTTGGACGGGGCGCTCCGCGAGGCGCTGGGACGTCCAAGATGGCTTCGGCGAGGAGGCCACAATCATCGATTTTGTCCCAACCATATTGTGTTGAGGTGGGTCCTCGTTTTGAAGACGCAGTCCCCGCGTGTCCTCTCCTCCTTTTCTCCTCCTCCTCCTCTCCTCCTCCTCCTCCTCCTCCTCCTCCTCCTCCTTTTCCTCCTCCTCTTTTTCCTCCTTCTCCTCCTTGTCCTCCTCTTCTTATTCCTCCTTTCCCCCTCCCCCCTCCTCCCGTCACCCTCCTCACTTTGCGCACCTCTCACACGTTTCATGGCCCGGTAGGGGGCTCCACCGAACGCCCCACCGGCATAGTTCGCATGCCGCCCACCTCCACTTTGGCTCACCTCGTAGCCCAGAAAGGGGCTCCACCGAAGGCCCCAGCGGCATGATTCGCATGCCGACTCCCGTCCACTTTGGCACACATCTCGTGCGCTTCCCGGCCCAATAGAGCTCCACCCAAGGCCCCAGCGGCATGATTCGCATGCCGCCCCCCGCCCAACATGGCGCCCCCCTCACGCGCTTCGCGGCCCAACCGGGGGCTCCACTGAAAGCTTCAGTGACATGGTTCGCATGCCGCCCCCCCTCGTTTGGTACACCCCTCACACGTTTCGCGGCCTCAAAGGGCGCTCCACCGGAGGTCCCCAGGGCATGGTTCGCAGGCCGCCCCCCCCCCCCCTCACTTTTGGCACACACACCTCACACGCTTCGCGACGCCAAAGGAGCCCCACCCAAAGTCCAGATGGCATGGTTCGCATGCCGCCCCCTCGATCTCATTTGGCGCACCACTCATGCGTTTCGTGGCCCCACAGGGAGCTCCACCGAAGGACTCAATGGCATGGTTCGCATGCCGCCCCCCCTCCACTTTGGCACACCCCTCACACGCTTCGTGGCCCCAGAGGGGGCTCCACCAAAGGTCCCAGCGGCATGGTTCGCATGCCGCCCCCTCCTTTTATTTTGGCATACCACTGACGCGTTTCTTGGCCCCGAAGGGAGCTCCACCGAAGGCCCCAGCGGCAGCGCCCACATGGCGGCCCCGCCCCAACACGGCGCACCCTTCGCGCGCTTCGCGCCCGCATGGGGGCTCCACCGAAGGCACTTCTCACGACGGCAATATTCACAACTGCACACGGCTGGACTTTTCGACCCGATAACACTAGAGATCTGGCCGCATTTGGGCCTTTTTGACAGGGGCGTGATTTATTACGGTTCCCTGTTTGCATGATTCCTGACACGGTCGAACACACCGTGCACTCGTCCGCGCTGTGCCGGATCTCGCGCGGTGGACGACCACGCCCCAGCATCTTTGGGAACTCCATCCCGCAGGGCGGAAGTCGGTCGGGGACCTGCTCGGCAGCGCCACTCACCGGCATACCTTCACCCTGGGGGCACAATTCATTCATGGGGTCCTCATCCATTCTTGGGCCGAATCGGCCCGGATACCACCTGCCGCGATGAACTCGAAGGCCACGGAATGACTGTCATGGCTTACTTGACGCCTGGCTGTCTCGAGTAACCTGCTCGATCGCACGTGCGCGACCGCGTAGGCCTCCTGCGCGGCCTTCGGCGCCCTTCATTCGATTCCGCTGTCCTTCCTCGGGCAGTCCCGCTTGCCGACCCGGGTCACAGCGGTGCATTTCTTCCCGTTCCTCGCGACGCACTCCGCGAAGTCCTCGGCCTCGGCACGCGCCAGGCCTGCTCTCTGCACGCTGCGGCGGTGCCTCTCCCGTCGGGCTTCGAAGTCCAGGCAACTCTCACTTGGCAACTTCTCGAGGTCGTTCCCCTCCGCGCGCGTCCCGATTTGCGTTTCGCCAGGAGTCGTGAACTGCTTGAGCCGCTCTCGGATCTTCTCATAGACAGCTTCTCCGACCTCCTCCGACAGCTGCCCGTCACCCCTGGCATTCTGGATGATGCTGTCGTAGATCATCTCCCCGTTGCCTCAGGGTTGAGCCAACCTACACGGTGTTTTTCGTGTTCGTTTTGTTTTCGTGTTCCCTCGTTGTGTCTTCAATCCGCCTTTAACGCAAAACAAAATCAAAACGAAAACGGCCCACAAAATCGCCAAAACACCGTTTGGGTCCGACGACCATGGCCATCTCGCACGGCTCCACACCTCTGGCGCCAGTCGCCACGCCGCAAGTGCCCTCGAAGGTTTTCGCGAAGTCCTCAGCACACTGCCGGCCCCTCTCCTCATCGCCCAAAGCTGACCAGCTCATCCTCGGCTCGACCTCGATCGTCGAGTTCAGCCCTGACTGGGAGGTCAGAGTCGGCCCTCGGGACTTCAAAGAATTCCAAAAGATCCTGTCGACTCCGTCCGTGATGGATTTCTGCTGAATGCTCATCGCTGCAACCAGCGCCATTTTTGGACGCCCGAAATGGGCGCGGAAAAAAATGGGCACAATGCCCAACAACAAATGTTGTCCGAAACCAACTGCGGCCGCTGTTGGGCAGGCGGCCTTCTGCCACAAGTGTACACGGGCCGCGGCGACACCGACAGCGAGTCCTGTCCAAAATGAGCAGGAACCGCTGTCGGGCATCGCACCCAATCTTTCCGCCCCCTTTCGTTCGTGCCGACCTTTGCCATTTTCTCGGCTATACGCAAGAGTGACCCTGGATAAGAGTGACCTTTGGTGCGCGACTTTTTGCGAGGCGCGGGGGGGCCAAACCTGGGCGCGCAAGCAGCCGCAGCTGCTTCGTTTTCAGCCATCTGGGGACCCATCTGTGCCCGCACCAAAGGTCACTCCGGCGAAAGGTCACTCTTACGTCTAATCGATTTTCTCCATCCACGATCCTTCGGACGTCGGTGCCGGCCCTGACCGCTCGGCCATGGGCTCTCGGCCAGCCCTGACCGCCTCCCAGCGTCGGGCCCCCGCTCCTCGCCGCACTCGGGGCCCGCCTCGCTCGCTCGGCCGCCTCCCCCCCTGGACCTCCATCGCTCGAGTCCTGCGCCGCGCGCGCTGGCCGAATAAGCGAAGCCCTTGCCATGCGGACCGGCCGGCCCCTGGAAGATCGGCGGCCCCTGGCGGTTGCGAGTCTGCCAGGGGCGCCCCGCGCTGGGCTGACTGGTCCGGGCCCCGGCAATCACTCCGAGTCCATCCAGCAATCCCAAGCGCGCTCTTCTGCGCACCTTCGGGTTCTGCCGAGCTGGGACCCATGTCGCAAGAAGTTCAATAGTCCCTTTAGTAGAGGAGAGAGGATTATGCACATACACCGATTCTGGCCAGGCCCATCCTGAGCCCAGGATCGGTGCCTACGCCCGCCACCTTGGCCATGAAGATATATGCACCGATCCTGGGTCAAGGACGGGCCTTGCCAGGATCGCTGCATGTGTATAGTTCTCTTAGCCCGGCCCCCCTCCCCAAGGGCAGGTATAAGTCTTCCGCCCGGACCCGCTCTCTGGAGGGCCGCCGGGCCGACAAAGGCCCCAGAGGCCGAGGGCGGGAGACGCAAGAGACGCCGGGATGCGAAAAACGCGAGGGGCCCCCACCCGACCGGACCTCCCGACCACGCGCATTTGGCGAGGGCGCCCTGGGGGTACACGCACCCGGACATCGAGCGTCTCGAAAAAATCCGCCGACCCTGTCGGCGTGTGGAAGAGGCTTCTCCGTCTGTTCCCTCTTCGTCGTCGTCGTCGTTCCTTCCCCTTTCCCCACAGCGTCGTTGCTTCTACCCCTCTCCCAGGGCCTTCTCCTGAAGCGTGCCAATCCAAAGCGACGAAATTGAGCAACGTCGTAATTGAGTCGAAGGGAAGCCCCTTCCCTTTGATCCCTTCCCCGTCCGGGGGGGGTTGTCCCGGGGCGGGTCCCGGGGGAGGTCCCGGGTTTTTACGCCGCCCCCCCGGGGAATCCCGGAGCCCCAAAAAAACCCGAGACGGGCCAAGAGTGCCCCAAGAGGCCCCCAAGACGATTCAAGAGGGCCCCGAATCGCCGAGCGATCTGTCCAAGACGCCTTGACGGCCTCCAGACGGCCCAAGAGGCCTGCGAGACGCCCCAAGAGGCCTCCAGGACCGTTCCCACGAGAGCCCCAAGAGGCAAAAATCATGGATTCCCATACGTTTTGCAAGATGTTTGGCGTTCTCGCCTCTTCCGCTTCCCCACGCGCCAAGACGGCCCAAGAGGCCCCCAAGGTCGCCCCGAGACGGCCCAAGAGGCCTCCAAGAGAATCCCCAAACGGCCCAAGAGTGCCCCAAGACGGCCCAAGACGCCTCCAAGACGGCACAAGAGGCCCCCAAGACGGCCCCAGGAGAGTGCCCAGACGGGGGACCCGAACGGACATTTCGAGCCCTCAGCCCCCGGGAAGCCCAAAGAGGCCCCAAGAAGCTCCCAAGAGGCCCCCAAACATCCCCCCAGAGGCCCCCGAGAGCGCTCGGAAGAAACCCCAAGAAACACGTTTGATGACTCAACCCACGTCAGCATCGTCGTCGTCGTTACCGCCGCCGCCGCCGTCGTCGTTCCCCTTCAGGGTCGGCGGCGCCGGCCGTAAGACCTTCGCAAGAATGCGAAGTTGGCCGTTACGTTTCGCCACGAAAAAAACACTCCAATAAACCCAGACTGGGGGGTCTCGCGACGCCAAGACAATATCCCACACTGGTGGAGTTGATGCAAAAAGTCTCGATAGCGAGCAGGAGAACGCAAGGCAGGATCAACATGCGGACCACTCGAGCCGAGTGAGTGGCGCTGCTTCTCTGCTACATCAGCTGGCAAAAGCAAATTATCACGCCAAGACCTCAGCCATTCACGATCGCCTGATGGAATCACGGGCGCGGGCTGGGACCCGCCCTCCGGCCATGCCACGAAGTGGCGTGCACAAGGCTTGGGTGGAGCTGTCAGGATAGATGGCCGACCCAGCAAGAAGCTCGCGGATGGCTTCGTTGCTACTCAAATCGGCCGGCTGGGCACCCACCTGCCTGAAACAATCGAGAACGACCTGGCGCGCGAAGCGCTGAGATGAGTTGAGAGGGGGCGAGGCGAGGCCAGGAGGACTATCGCACCCATACAGATGGTTCAAACTGCGGATGGCCCAATCCGCCCAGTCCATCATGCGCGCACGGCGGTGCACCCTCTGCTTCGCTGCACGACGCACTTCAGGCGCGCAAACGGCGGGCGTGCGACGATCAAGCGGCGGCAGCGGAAACACACCCCTCCGCTGGCCAACCCTCCCCGGCGCAACCTGAGAGGGCGAAAAATATGGAGGGGTAGGGGAGGCGCCGAGCCCCTTCCCGAGAATGCAGCCCGGGCCCCCCCCTCCGATGCACCCGGCCGCGCCCAGGATCATGCGTCATATGTATTATTGCCCTTGCGGGCCGCTTCTCGTTTTTCTCTAGTATTACGGAACTCCTCGAGCAAGGCGTGCTCGCGGGAGACAGCGGTGGCGCCGTTGGGGAGGTTGATCTGGTCGTAGCACGCCATCGTCTCGAGCTTTTGGCAGCAGCGCGCGTGCTCTGACATCCTGGCGTCCTGCGACAGGAGCTTCGCGTCGTGCTTCCAGCGCGCGCGCCGCCCTGTCGGCGAGCCTCCGTTCTGCGCGATGTACCGGCAGACCCAGAGGCACGAGCGACGGCCCTTGATCGGCCAGTCCGCGAACAGGTCCTCGCGGAACGACTGCGCCGCCCGATCGAGCGGCAGCAGCCTGTCGCCCAGCAGATCGCACTGCAGCACGCGGAGGTCGAAGTAGCCGACGCCAGCAGCGCCAGCCGGGACGGCCACCCCAAGCGCACCGCCCGCTCCTGGCGAAGCCAGGGCGGCGGGCGCGGCGGCAGCAGGGGGGGCAGCAGGAACCCCTGCGGCGCCAGGTGGGGCGGCCAGCGCGTCCGCGGCGGCAGGCGCGGGGGGCAGCGCAGCCACCAGCGGGCCGGCGGCGGCAGCAAGGACACCAGCTGGAGGGGCGGGACCGCCACCTCCGAAAGCTGCCGCCAACCCGCCAAGCCCAGCCGCTGGCAAGAGCGCACCAGCTCCGCCTACAGCTCCGCCAGGTGCTCCAGGACCAGCAGCAGCAGCAGCGCCCAGCGCTCCGGCGGCGCCTCCTGCAGCGGGAGCCGCGGCCACTGCAGGGGCTCCAGCAAGCCCAGCGCGCCCGCCGACGTTGGGCACGAGCTGCCCAGGCGGCGGCGCTGCCCCGTCGCGCCCACGCAGAGCCCCAAGAGCGCCCCCGAAGGGCCCCAATGCGCTTTTGTTAGAGCCTCCGATGGGGGGGGGGGCCCTCATTTGAGCTATGGGGCCCAAGGCGCCCGGGGGGAACTCTCAGACCCCCCCCCAAAAAAAAAGAGCCCCAAGAGGACCCCAAGCACAAAAGAGCCCCAAGAGGACCCCAAGAGGGCCCCAAGGACCCCAAGAGGACCCCAAGAGAGCCCCAAGATGTCTCCAAGAGACCTCCGAGAGCTTCTCACAACACCACCTCAACCCACATGGGCAGGGCTGGTGGGTATACGCGAAGCGTCAAGCATTGCATGCAAGAGGTGGCTTTGCCATGGCTTCCAGGCTCCAAGACGACGCGGCGTCGCCAACGCGCCTAGGTACCACCGCATTTTGCATGCTCTCAGGGGGGCGCGTCAGGTGGATCACAGGCAATTACACCCATGTTGTCACCGAGCCATCCAGGTCCGTGGTCGAAGGTGGTGCCCATGGAGAAATGTTCTCGATTACCTGTGGGGCCGAGCGCTTCAACATAGTGGCAGCCTCCGTCATGCCCTTCATGATCTCCGCGTGCTTGAAGATGTTGTCCTCGTCCTTGATCCCGAAAGGCACCGCGAGGCGGCCATCGTAGACCAAGGTCCTGCTGTCCCGGCTGTCTGTCCGCTCGGCGAACAGGAGGCCGAACTTGCGATCGAAGTCCACTGAACGCTTGGACATCGTTGAGTAAACTGCTTCTTCAGCCAAGTACAGCTGGCCCTTCTTGTGCGAGAACTGGGGCATCAGGACTGCCGATAGGCCTGGACCTGCACCAGCAAGCATCGCGAGTATGTTCGCTTGCAACTCATGGACTGCTGCATTGATGGTGCATGGCGCAGTCCAACTCACCACTGCAATCGCGACCACATTCGAATCAGAAACTCGATACCTGGCAACGATGTCGCTGCGCAGCTGCAGGCGGCCATTTATTCGCATAGCGTTGAAGCACACAACCCGAAAATGAAGACATCGTGGTGGAGGACATGAGGGCGACGAGGCCGAGGAGGAGGAGGTTGTCAACTTCCTTCTCCTCCTCGCCCTCCTCCTCCTCCTTCTCTCCCTCGACCTCCTCCTCCTGAGCGTCCTCCTCCTCCTCCTCACCGACCAAAGAAAACAAGCATGGGGTCCTGCTTGCATGCCTTGAAAATCTCATGCAAGTCAACTGAGCGAAGGATCCGGGACGTGCTCATCATGGCTCAAGTTGTGCCTCTTGACATTATAATCCTGCTTAATTGAAAAGACAGTCTTGGCGAAACTGCGCCCCTTTGCTAAGTGCACCCGGAACGCCTGGCAGTCGTAGTCGATGTGTTTCATCAACAGGTTGAACTCGCTCTCCTGCAGGCCCCTCGATTGCTTCTGGACGGTCGCCTCGCGCATGGCAATGTCTCCATCTGAGTGCCACAAGACATCATGTCCAGGATGTCTTTCAGGACCCCCAAGTCCCTTTCTGCGAAGCCGTCGCCCTTGTCAGCCATAGCAGACTTCACCTCCATCTCGACCCTGGGCGACCGGACTTCCATTGCTCAATGAACTCCGACTTGACCAGCTCTGAGGAGATACCAGATTCCATGGCCTCACCAGCGATTGCCATTGCCACAGCTGCCTGCTCAGCCAGATCCTCAACACTTCGTTTGTTATGCCTGTGTTGGGGCATGGGTGGGCTGGTGTCGAACTTGACGATGAGATGCTGAAGCATCAGGCTCATGGACTCCTTTGTTACAATCTGCCTCGCAGCCCATGTCTTGGAATTTGGTGTCCTGGAAAGGCCAACATTGAGCAATGCGAACCCCAAGACTACGCCATGGCCCTGAGTTCAAGTCTAAAACCAGCGAGCCTGAGCCCCAGACGAATCTTCAGCTAGATAACCCCAAAAAGCCAACCACAGGAACTGGATAACAAACCTAAAGGCCCTCACAGGGTTGAAGGATTCCCTCGAAACGCGTTTCAAACATGGACGGCGGTGCCAACTGTCTGAGGAAAGCGTTGCGATACCTGCTGGCATTGTAACCCATGCCT